AACTGAGACAGCAAACAGACTCAGTGATTTCTTCTCCACCATAGGAAAAAACCTTGCCAATAAAATCCCAAGCTCAAATACCCCACCCAGTGACTACCTCACTGGCAACTACCCGAACACACTGTTCCTAGCTCCGACTAACCCAACAGAAGTCTTCCCTACAGTTCTCAAAATAGCGAGGGTCACCCCAATCCATAAAGGAGGAGACCAAACAGACTTGAATAATTATAGGCCAATATCCAACTTACACCCTCTCTCTAAAATCTTCGAAAAATTAATTCATAAGTGAATTTATTCCTACCTCACCTCCCACAACACACTCAACCCCTGTCAGTTTGGGTTCAGGCCTAATAAAAATACTAATGATGCTATTATACACATGCTAGAACAAATATACACTACAGTAGAGAAAAAAGAAGTCCCACTGGGGATCTTCATTGATTTACGTAAAGCTTTTGATACAGTTGATCATGATTTGCTCCACATAAAATTGTCGCACTATGGTATAAGAGGGCACTCCCTCAACTACCTAAAGTCATACCTCAGCAACAGAAGCCAATGTGTGTACACAAATGGAGCAAACTCTTCCACACAGCCAATTACAGTTGGTGTCCCACAGGGAAGTGTCCTTGGCCCTCTTCTCTTTCTCGTTTACATAAATGATCTACCAAATGCATCGCAACTACTTAAACCCACACTATTTGCAGATGACACTACATACGTCTTCTCTCACCCAAGCCCAGTCGTGCTAGCCAATACTGTGAATACCGAATTACAGAAAATATCTACCTGGATGATGACTAACAAACTTTATGTCAACATTGACAAAACCTACTTCATTCAGTTTGGTAACAGAGCTACAGATGTCCCTCTTAACATAATGATAAACGGATCACCTATACAAAGCTCACAGAGGGGAAAATTCTTAGGAATCCACCTTGATAATAGACTCAAATTTCAAACACATGTACAACAAATTTCCAAGACCATAGGCATACTGTCGAAGATATAGTACTATGTTCCACAGTCAGCCCTCCTGGCCCTATATCACTCGCTTATTTATCCCTATCTCACCTATGGAATTTGTGCATGGGGCCCAACAACAATAAACCATCTCAGACCATTAATTACCCAACAAAAGGCTGCAGTCAGAATGATGATAAATTCCCACTACAGGCAGCACACTCCACCAATATTCAAAACTAAACCTACACACCATACAAAACACCCATACTTATTATTGTACCTACTACATACATAGAACACTTAACTCGGGTGTAAACCCTCCCCTCAAACGTCTCCCTACCAACCTCAACAGAACACATGACCATAACACAAGGCACAGATCACTCTTTGATGTTCCTCGTGTCCATCTCACACTATGCAGAAACTCAATGCACATAAAAGGCCCAAAAATCTGGAATTCATTACCTGCCCATAATGCTCTGCATACAAGGGGCTTTGGCATGTTACACTTAACAACTGTATTTCTTTGTACTTCTGTGTATCATGTTCAAATTAATAAATAAATAAATAAATAAATAAATAAATAAAGTTTTTCAACCTCTTGAATAATTTCTGGCCTTTGCCTTGATATCACTTTCATGCCTTTTGCAGGGTCAGCTGCTTTAACTTTTTCCCTTTGGCCCAGTACTATGCTAATGGTAGACTTTGATTTACCAAAAAGTTTTGCTATATCACCTATATGGAGCCTATCTTCATACTTTTGAATAATTCCTTTTTAAACTCAGTAGTGCTTTTTACAACTTTTCTTTTTACTTTCATCTCTTTATCCTTCTTTGGACCCATGATGGTTTATCTCCCAATTAAAAATTGCGCCAAAACTGCAAAATAACAAGAAATCACAATTATTATTATTATAATCAAGGGGGAAGCGCTAAACCCGGAGGATTATACAGCGCCTGGGGGGGGGGGATGTGGAAGGCATTCAGGCTTAATTCAGGGAACTGGAGCACAGATCCAATTCCCTAAATCAAGAGCCCCTCACCAACATCAAGGAACCTTCCTTGAGGGGACGAAATCACAAAATACACGGCAAACGGCTCAAAATGTTTACAGCATGCTCATTAGTCACTATACTGACTGAAACCCATGCTGTGGACTTTGTCTGGTGATCATGTAATCCAAGCATTGTCAGTCGACAACCAAGACCATGAATGAAAATCAGATCGAACAGATTGGTTCAAAAACCAATTTGTTCAACAACCAAGGTTCCACTGTATATAGGGGGTCTTCTAATACTTTATTCCCCTAACTTGAATTGCCTTTCATATTTTTTCTCTTTCTAGCTGTAATATTGTAGTTACATAAGAACATAAGAACAAAGGAACACTGCAGAAGGCCTACTGGCCCATGCGAGGCAGGTCCAAGTCTCCTACCGGCTTAAGCCAATGCACCCAACCTTGTCAGGTCAGGTCACATTGACTTAAGGGAGGAACACGGCAACCGACCTGGTAGCACAAGCTATCAGGTCCAACTCACACCCACCCACATCCACTCATGTATTTATCCAACCTATTTTTAAAGCTACACAACGTTGTGGCCTCTATAACTGTACTCGGGAGTTTGTTCCACTCATCCACAACTCTATTACCAAACCAGTACTTTCCTATATCTTTCCTGAATCTGAATTTTTCCAACTTAAAACCATTGCTGCGAGTCCTGTCTAGGCTAGATATTTTCAGCACACTATTTACATCCCCTTTATTTATTCCTGTCTTCCATTTATACACCTCAATCATATCCCCTCTAATTCTATGTCTTTCTAGAGAGTGCAGATTCAGGGCCCTTAGTCTATCCTCATAGGGAAGGTTTCTGATACATGGGATCAACTTTGTCATCCTCCTTTGTACATTTTCCAGAGAATTTATATCTATCCTGTAATACGGTGACCAAAACTGTGCAGCATAATCTAAATGAGGCCTAACCAAGGATGTATAGAGTTGAAGAACAACCTGAGGACTCCTATTATTTATGCTTCTTGATATGAAGCCAAGGATTCTATTAGCTTTATTGCGAACACTTATGCACTGTTGTCTTGGTTTCAGATTACTGCTAACCAGAACTCCTAAATCTTTTTCGCAATCCGTAATATTAAGATCTACATTATTTAGTTTATATGTGGCATGGTTGTTGTCCTGTCCAACATTTAGAACTTTGCATTTGTCTATATTAAACTGCATCTGCCACTTCTCCGACCACTGCATCAGTCTATTCAAATCTTCCTGGAGTGCTCGAATGTCCTCGTCAGAATGAATTCGACGGCCTATTTTGGTGTCATCGGCAAACTTGCCGATGTCGCTCTTTATGCCCTCATCTATGTCGTTTATGTAGATTGTGAACAGCAGGGGGCCCAACACTGACCCCTGTGGAACACCGCTCGTAACGCTTCCCCACTCTGATTTCTCCCCATTTATGCAAACTCTCTGCTGCCTATTTGTCAACCAGGGAAACCGGCAGGCCGGACTTGAGTCCTGGAGATGGGAAGTACAGTGCCTGCACTCTGAAGGAGGGGTGTTAATGTTGCAGTTTAAAAACTGTAGTGTAAAGCACCCTTCTGGCAAGACAGTGATGGAGTGAATGATGGTGAAAGTTTTTCTTTTTCGGGCCACCCTGCCTTGGTGGGAATCGGCCAGTGTGATAAAAAAAAAAAAAAAAAAAGCCTCTATCCAGGAAAAAATTTCTCCTCCTATTCCATGTGCTTTAATTTTCCTCAATAGTCTCTGATGTGGGACCCTGTCAAAAGCCTTACTGAAGTCCATATACACAATATCATATTCATTACCATGATCTACCTCCTCAAATACCTTAGTGAAAAAAGTTAATAAATTCGTAAGGCAGGAACGCCCCTTTGTAAAACCATGCTGAGATTCGTTGATTAATTTATGCTTTTCAAGGTGGCTACGAACTGCCTCGGCAATTATTGATTCCATAAATTTTCCCACTATGGAGGTTAGGCTTATTGGTCTATAGTTCGAAGCTAAGGACCTGTCACCTGTTTTGAAAATAGGTATCACATTTGCCATTTTCCACTTATCTGGCACCATGCCAGTTTGTAGTGATATGTTGAAAAGATTAGCCAAAGGTGTGCTAAGCTCCTCTTTACATTCCTTTAGAACCCTTGCATACAGTTCATCAGGGCCTGGGGATTTGTTAGGTTTTAATTTATCTATTTGCCTAAGGACCATGTCACTTGTGACCCTAATCGTGCACAGTTTATTATCGTCCTGTTCTACATAATTTATCATTACTGGAATATCGCTGGTATCCTCCTGTGTAAAAACTGAGAGGAAGTATGTGTTAAAAATTCTACACATTTCCTTATCACTGTCAGTGAGCTGACCCGAGGAACTTTGAGTGGGCCTATCTTGTCCCTGATCTTACTTCTGTATACCTGAAAGAATCCTTTTGGGTTAGTCTTCGATTCTCTTGCAACTTTAACCTCATAATCTCTTTTTGCTTTTCTAATTCCCTTTTTTATTTCTCTCTTTAACTGAATATATCGATTTCTTAATTGCCCCTCTCCTCTTTTGATTTGCCTATATATGCCTCTCTTTTGACCAATCAGATATTTTAATCTATTGTTCATCCATTTAGGATCATTTTTGTTTGATCTGATTTCCCTATTTGGAACATAATTTGACTGAGCAGCTAGAACTATGCCCTGGAAAGCATCATATCGGCAACCATCACCACCTACCTGACCCTTAGTCAGGTCATTCCAGTTCAGCCCACCTAAGTAATTTTTCAGTCCTATGAAATCAGCCAAGCGAAAGTCAGGGACGGAGACTTGATTGCCATTATTAGGGGAATTCCATGATATATTAAAACTGAGTGATTTGTGATCACTTTCCCCAAGCTCATCATTAACCTCAAGATTATTAATTAGTGTTTCCCTACTGGCAAGAACCAAGTCAAGGAGGTTATTTCCCCTAGTAGGGGACTTCCTTGAATTTAATGCTCCAGTTTTTGTTTTTCAGCACCTCTGGAAGTTCCGCAGTCGTTTAGTACGGGGTGTAGAAATCAACTTATAAGTATGGCTGATTTTGGCATCAGCACACTTCTGGAAGACATATTGAACAAGTGATGGAGATTTTCTTCTTCTTTGGGTCAGAATATAATTTGTGTGTATGTACATATATATAATCTTTTAATTTAGCAGCCATCTATGCCAAGGCAGGATATGTTTAAACATGTGTATTATATACAGTAAGACCCCAACCTATGATGATCCAATTTGTTTTTCATTTTCTTGACTTAGAACTTAGGTAGCACTTAATTACTTACGAAACAGTGGGTTAGCGCTTAGTTTTGATTATAATAGTTCTAATAGTGGGACTACTGTAGTACAATATTTATAATTTTATTAATGATGAATTATGAGTTTTGGCTTTTACGAAATACATTAATACTTTGTGTATGTTCATTTTATTCATTTATAGAAAGCTTGTATTTATTTGGCAGAAATTGGTCATGAGCTATAGACTCTCTATATACAATTTTATTGAATTATATATTTATTTTATTATTTTATTATCACACTGGCCGATTCCCACCAAGGCAGGGTGGCCCGAAAAAGAAAAACTTTCACCATCATTCACTCCATCACTGTCTTGCCAGAAGGGTGCTTTACACTACAGTTTTTAAACTGCAACATTAACACCCCTCCTTCAGAGTGCAGGCACTGCACTTCCCATCTCCAGGACTCAAGTCCGGCCTGCCGGTTTCCCTGAACCCCTTTATAAATGTTACTTTGCTCACACTCCAACAGTACGTCAAGTATTAAAAACCATTTGTCTCCATTCACTCCTATCAAACACGCTCACGCATGCCTGCTGGAAGTCCAAGCCCCTCGCACACAAAACCTCCTTTACCCCCTCCCTCCAACCTTTCCTAGGCCGACCCCTACCCCATTTATGGATTTGGAAAAGGCATATGACAGGGTGGATAGGGGGGCAATGTGGCAGATGTTGCAGGTGTATGGTGTAGGAGGTAGGTTACTGAAAGCAGTGAAGAGTTTTTACGAGGATAGTGAGGGTCAAGTTAGAGTATGTAGGAAAGAGGGTAATTATTTCCCAGTAAAAGTAGGCCTTAGACAAGGATGTGTGATGTCACCGTGGTTGTTTAATATATTTATAGATGGGGTTGTAAGAGAAGTAAATGCGAGGGTCTTGGCAGAGTTGTGGAGTTAAAAGATAAGAATCACACATAAAGTGGGAGTTGTCACAGTTGCTCTTTGCTGATGACACTGTGCTCTTGGGAGATTCTGAAAGAGAAGTTGCAAGATTGGTGGATGAATTTGTAGGGTGTGCAAAAGAAGAAAATTGAAAGTGAATACAGGAAAGAGTAAGGTTATGAGGATAACAAAAAGATTAGTGATGAAAGATTGGATATCAGATTGAGGGAGAGAGTATGGAGGAGGTGAATGTATTTCAGATATTTGGGAGTGGACGTGTCAGCGGATGGGTCTATGAAAGATGAGATGAATCATAGAATTGATGAGGGGAAAGGGTGAGTGGTGCACTTAGGAGTCTCTGGAGACAAAGAACTTTGTCCTTGGAGGCAAAGAGGGGAATGTATGAGAGTATGTTTTACCAACGCTCTTATATGGGTGTGAAGCATGGGTGATGAATGTTGCAGCGAGGAGAAGGCTGGAGGCAGGGAGATGTCATGTCTGAGAGCAATGTGTGGTGTGAATATAATGCAGAGAATTCGTAGTTTGGAAGTTAGGAGGAGGTGCGGATTACCAAAACTGTTGTCCAGAGGGCTGAAGAAGGGTTGTTGAGGTGGTTCGGACATGTGGAGAGAATGGAGCGAAAGAGTGACTTCAAGAGATGTATCAGTCTGTAGTGGAAGGAAGACGGGGTAGGGGTCGGCCTAGAAAGGTTGGAGGGAGGGGGTAAAGGAGGTTTTGTGTGCGAGGGGCTTGGACTTCCAGCAGCATGCGTGAGCGTGTTGATAGGAGTGAATGGAGACAAATGGTTTTTAATATTTGACGTGCTGTTGGAGTGTGAGCAAAGTAACATTTATGAAGGGGCTCAGGGAAACCGGCAGGCCGGACTTGAGTCCTGGAGATGGGAAGTACAGTGCCTGCACTCTGAAGGAGGGGTGTTAATGTTGCAGTTTAAAAACTGTAGTGTAAAGCACCCTTCTGGCAAGACAGTGATGGAGTGAATGATGGTGAAAGTTTTTCTTTTTCGGGCCACCCTGCCTTGGTGAGAATCGGCCAGTGTGATAATAATAATAAATATATATTTTTTTTTTTACCAAATGCATTCATACTTTGTTTATTTTATACATTTACTCTATGGAGAGCCAGTACTTGTGTGGCAGAGATTGGTCATGAACCATAGAATTTATTAAAAATTGCCTAATAGAACAAAAGAAATAAGTGAGACTTGGCTGTAATAATGCTAGCTGGCCTATCACTTAGAGAACAGTGAAGCAAATATTATAAAAGCCAAAAAAAATAATTGTGACTAATGAGAACTTTCAGAACAAGGGAAATAAAAACACTGGTGACAGTATTCTGTCAAAAAACTTTTGAGTTTCTGGTCATCATCTTACCATCAGTGTTGTGCTTGGAAGACAGACTTGCAGAAATTATTTTCAGTGTCTTTGCTGCCCTAACACACTACCTGGCTTCTCTGAAAGTTCCACCTTTGACTTAAGAGAAACAAACTTATTACACCAACTTTGATTATACTTTTCATTTAGCACTCCCCACTACCCTTGTTTACTCTACCTCTTGCACACTCCTACGTCACTGGTCTCTGACCTTCTTATACTCCCTCTTTAACATATCCCACCATGCAGTTTTGTATGACTTTTGGGTTTAGCACTTTGACTATATTATTGAATGCATTCATAGTTTTTGTATGTTAATTCTATGAATGTATATAGAGCTCACATTTTTTGGTAGAGATCTGGTTAAAAACTATGGATTTAAGAATTATATTTACAGTAGCTGCCACTATTGCCAAGGAGTGGGTACAGAGGTAGCTCTCACACAACACCCTCCCATCACTGTCCCTCACTGTCGTCCTCGTGATACTGTATTGCAGCTCTGTTCATATTAATTAACACATTAACCCTTTCATTATCCGTGCTGTAGTATTATGGCTTTGAGGTCACTATCCATGCCATAGTACTATGCCAAAATTCTAGCAACTTCAAATTTAACACGAGAAGGCTCATAGGCCTACATGAAAGAATGGCTCTGCATGGTCAGTGTGTGCAGTAAACAAAAAATCGGGGCACCCGCATTGCATTGTAGGACTGCCTTCTCGGTACACTTTGTTCACCTTGCCTCGTGGTAGCATATACCCCAACTCCCAGTTCAGTTGGGAGCCTTCTCTTCCCAAGTGACAGTTCTAACACAGATGGAAGTGAAGAGGAATTATATAGTTTTAAACAGTTTGTGACCAAAAGGAACACTCAGGATATCATAATGCTGAAAACCTTCACGACCCTCAACCTTCCACCTCTGGTGCTGGTCTGTCTTGGTCACAGTTGTACCTCACCGTAAGCATAAGCTTATATTTTCCCATGGCCAAGCCTCAGATGTAAGTAATGGTGATGACACTAATGTGGACTCTGATGATGACCATTTGAGTAGTGACAGCGAGGAAGAATATTCACCATTGAAGCGTTGGTTTATACGACACCGCATGTGGTCTGGTAGTGTGCCATGTGCAATTCCAAGGGGACAGAGTACATCCTGTGGTCTTACACCATGAACAAACAGTGCAAGTGACAATGATGTGGCTACAATTGAGATGGACAGTAGACCACACGTGTCAGGTGGTGGTACCATATGGGGTGCAGCAACAGCTTAGGGTGGGAGCCACTGACTAAGCATGTCCATGACCCAAGGCATCTTCAGCCAGCCCCCACACCACAACTACGACCACAACCAGCTGCTAATATTCAGTACCCACCAACAAACTGCATCTAGGATTGACAGCAAAATGCAAATTTGTGCGTAGTCCCTATCAATTTGATGATAATCACAGTGGAATCCTGCCATCTTGTTCCCTTGGAAACACTGCAAGTGAAGTGAATCCTTTGAACTCTTCTTTGACAAGCCTCTGATGGAAATTGTCAGGGAAAGTAACAGGTACTTTGATTATACAATGATTCCACTACAGTCACACCTACACAGGTGGAAGGAAACAACTGTGGTCAAGATGTATTTGATTTTTGCCACAATAATGCTTATGCTACACGTGTATAAGCATAGTATCACATCATACATGCCCACAGACCCCAGCCTTTGGCCCCTCAAAGTAGGTTACTTGATGCTAGTGAGGGGCTTTTGATCTAGGGAATTGGATCTGTGCTCCAGTTCCCTGAATTGAGCCTGACTACCTTCCGCCCCCTTCCCTACATGCGCTGTATAATCTTACGGGTGTAGGCGCTCCCTCATGATTATAATATCCCAGTCAACAGATTTCTCCTACTGTTACGCTTCTCTCACAAAACAAGGCCTGACAGTGTGTTTTTATGAATCTGAAACAGGAGTTCAGTATGCATTTTTATCCGTTAAAGAATCTTCTTATTGAGTCGAATTTTGTTCAAAGGTAGATTGTCATTCAAGCAGTATACAGGTGCACCGAGCAAGAAGTATCTTGCTCGGTGCACCTGTATACTGGGTATCAAGTTTGTGCTTTGTGATTGTGACAGTGGTCTTGGATATTGTAAGTAAAGCATCGAGACATACCAGCAAGTTATTGGGTATGTCGGGTGATGTGAGAATGATGGAACCATATCTTGGTAAGGGTTGTACATTATATACTGATAACTGGTACATGAGCCATTTTTAGTGATATTTTTGCAAATGAACATGAGACATCTGTGGTACAGTGCATTCAGATTGTAAGCATATGCCCAGGTTCAATGCAGGCACTCTTAGTGGCGATGTGCAAATGTTTGCTGCCAAGGGCATTATGGTGGCATGACAAACGAGATGTCACATGTCGACATCCATTCACTATAGCAAAATGAAGGAGAGTGGCAAGGTGGATAGTGACCCATGAACCTATTCTAAAATCTGTGACTATACTTGACCACACACTCATTATGCATTTAGTGGATAAACGTGACATGCAAATTGGGTTTGCAAGAGTTATAAGTGGTACATGAAACTCTTCTTCCATCTCATGGACATTTCCATACTAAATGCATATAATATGTACCAAATGACCAATATGGTGAATTTTGTCATTAGACAACTAATATTCAAGTACTAGGTCACAACACCTGCAATACAAAACTGCCCACGAACTGATTACCAAATACCCTCTTGTTTGAGGCGTCGTGGTGATCATTTGATAATACAATTTTCTCCAAGAAGAAATGAGCTCAGAGGAGATGTTTTGTCTGTGCACATGCGTAAAAACGCCCACAAAAATGGAGA